AGAGAGAGAGAGAGAGAGAGAGAGAGAGAGAGAGAGAGAGAGAGAGAAATGGAAAAAAAACAAACCGATGTTATAAAATAAAATTACTTTCTCGTTATTCTTCTTTTGTTGAACTTTTTTTTTCTGCTTCTTGTGTACGAATTGGTTCCTAAATGGGAAAAAAGCCTATTGATTTAGCGCTACGAGAGTTGCATAGATAACGTTAGATGGAATCTAAACAGTAGCAGCAAAAAAAATGATTATAAGTTGAACTGAATCGTTATGCCTTTTGTGCCATTAACATTTTGCGGTGCAACGATGTACTGGGATTGTTTTAAATTAGCTTACGCACAATATTCGTATAATATTTGTATCATGACACGATTCATAATGTTTATCTTTGATGGAGTTTGTTCATTTTTTCTTTTTCTTTCTTCGTTCGATTCGTTTGTGTGCATTTTTCACGCGATTCGCCTATTTTCAATGGAGATTTTTGTGCAAAAGAGTGCACGATTTCATATTTCATACGATTAATTGCCAAGCCTACGTATACACAACGTCGACGTCAATTTGTACAGTTGAGAGTACTGAAGAGAAAAAAAAAACACCGTACCGAACAATAAACATTAAATCGAAATAATTTCCGAATGAATAACAGGTGTGACTCAATTCGCGCAATTCGTGAAATGGTCATAAGAGTGTAATGGTTTTTTAGCCGAGAGAGTAATCTCTATGACACTGTTTTATTTTCTTTGTCACCGAAGTTGTTGCTGGTATTGTTAAGTACAATAAAAATAACCGCATTTCACAAAGGCGGTTTCATTTTGGCTTTTATAGTGCATGCGCGCTTGCGCTCGGCATGCGGATTTTGTCACCTTCGTTACATATATAATTTAAAGGAGAAATCCGATTGTTGTTTAATCTTTATGTTTGATTTTACTTTCTTTGTGTAATTTAAAGGAGTAGCCGCAATCACATGAACCAAAATCCAATGGCGTATTGATTGCGTCGAGTGCACGGCTCGTTTGATTGCCTGCTCGCTCGCGCTCGTACACAAACACACACACATACATCGGCAGAGAGACCATCCGCGATTTACACAATTCGGTTCTGTTTTGTTTGCGCTTTGGCTATGGGGAACTCGATCGTGTCACGCGTAAAAGCGGCAATGAACACACAGAGCAAGAAAGAAAACGAAGAATAAAGATTGAGCGGAGAAAGAAAGAATGAAAGAAAGCAACCAAGCAGGAGATGGTATATGGTGGATGGTGTGTTCATCGATGGTATGAACCAAAATGAATAGTGCGTGATCAGTATATAAAGCTTGCAGCAGCACCGATCACTCATCATATCATTTGTGAGCGTTTAAACGAACAGTTTGAAGTTACACCGCAACAAAAATCGCCGCCAAAATCGTTTGTGCATCAAAATCAAAGTATCTCAGAAGTAAAGAAAAAAACAGAAAAAAATCCAATTCAAAATGAAAGTGTTTGTGGTATTATCAGCTGTTTTGGCCATCGCTTGCGCCGCTCCAAGTGTTAACGATGATTCGTCATCGTTCCGTAAAATGCTCGGCAATTGTTTGGGTAGTGAAGATACAGTGACATGTTTATCAATCAAAGGAATTACCGCATTGAACCGTGCTGCCCGTAGTGCAAACTTCGAAGTTTTGCCAGGAGTATCTTTCCAAAGGTAGCGAACTCAACACAATATAGTATATCTATTTGATATGTGACTTAGAGAAGAAACCAAAAGAAAAAAAAACGGTTCTTGACTAGTTGATCACTTTTGAAAAAATTGAAAAAAGAATGAAGTTGATTTGTGAACGAAAAAAAAAAGAACGAAAAAAGATAGAGACCTTGATTCGTGTTTAGAAAAAAGGTTAAGAAAAGAAAACGTTTTTAGTTTCTTCAAGTGTTTCTCAACAAGGAAAAAGAAAATTCAATTGAAAATTGTGTTGCTAATCATGATTCTATTTATATTTTCTCTACAGAGATACATCAATTTCGGCCCGTAGTGCTAAAGCAATTTCAGAAAATGAAATTGCCGATTCACTTCCAGCTGATGAATCGGAACGTAGCGGCCGTCTCTTCGACTTGGCTATGGATTCGTTGGCCAATTTTGCTGAATCGCACTCATTGCAAGTGAAATTCCCAAAAGAAGCATCGGAAAGCGTTGCCCGTGCCATCGAAGAGGGACGTGGTAAATTGAAGAAGGTTGCTGGTCCACTATTGTTGGCAGTCGGTGCAAAATTGATTGCTTTCGTTCCATTGTTCTTGGGCGGTTTGATTTTCTTGGCATTTAAGGCTTTGGTTGTGTCAAAGATTGCATTCCTTTTGGCTGCCGTTCTTGGTTTCCAAAAATTCGGTACTGGTGGCAGTGGCTTGGGATTGCTCAGTAAAGTGACCAACGGTGTTGGCAACGGCTGGTCATCAGGTGCACAAAACAGTGGATGGTCATCAGGTTCAGGCCTCTCATCACAATATCCATACGCCCGAAACTATGAAAACGCACAAGATTTGGCCTACAACGCATACGCTGGCGAAATCCCAGCCGCCGGACAACAACAACAATAAATGCAACAAACAACATCAAAGTACACATCGAAACTGTATCGTTGACACACAATTCATATTTCGTCGTTATTTCATAACAACCGTTTTGATTGACAAAGCCAAAACGATAAGAAGCATGTTGTGAGTAACGAGATTTGTTGGAGTAGCAAAAAAAAAGAGAGAGACAGAAAAAAAATCTAGTAATATTTAGATAATCGAAAGAAAAACAAACAAACGCAACGACAAAAGAAGAAACCACATAGAATCAAATCATTTTTTTTTTTAGTTTCAAATCATAAATAAGTAGAAAGCGCTAAAACGGTAGAATACTAACGTTGCCATTGGATCGTCACGCGCACACAACCACCGCAATATGCCAGGTACTGTACATAAAACATTCAAACCAACACCACACACAGCGATCCAAAGGCGCGAAGCAACGCATGAAGAAGAAAAAAAAACAGTCAAATACCAAAATAATAGAGTTAATAATTTAATTGAACGCAGCTTAAATGAAATGACTACAAAAAAACAAATTGATTGGTGTAAAAAAAAACATACAATTATGCAAAAACTCATTCGAAACCTTTTTTCCGAACACATACACAGATTTTTTCCTCCTAAAAAAATTTATTTGTTTCGTCGCCGTCACATAACCCGATCGAAATCGTTCTTTTTTTTCGTCAAAAACAAAAAAATGTATTTCGTATCGATTATTGTTTTTTTTTACCATAAATTTATTTATTAACTTATTTTAATTATGTGTCATTAAATTATTCAAATTATTATTTAAAAACGACCAATGTAAAGAGAAATAAAAACGAGAAAGAAAAAAACTTAAAAAAAACACATGTACTATTGCATTTTTAATTCATTCCGTTGATTTTTGTTCCGTCTAGACGAGTTTATATGCCAGAAAAGTTTCCAAGTCTTGGGGAAATTTCCATGGGGTCAGTTTAAGTAAAAGTTTTCCAGCTTGATACTTGGTATTACTTACATTTAGGTCGAGTTTTGTGTGTGTTTTTTGTGTACAATTTTTTTTTCGTCTTTCTTTTTGTTCGATTCTATCATTTCATCGGCGCTTGTTGAAAGCGCGTGTTCAAGTGCTCATTTCAAGAAATCAGAAAATTTAATGAGAAAACAGAACCATTAAGCAATGTGCCCAAAAGTAAACAGAAAGCTCAAACAATAGTAAATAAATAAACGACGCACTTCTTCCGCATGAAATGGTAATCGATGTTGGCTATGCGACGCGTGTGTATACGCATATATATTATTCATTTTTCAGGTTTATAGATTTTCAGCTTCTGGAGCAGCCAGAGAGAAAAAAAGACTAAAAGAGCAGCCAGAAACGAAAATCATTGCGTCAAAGACGTGGACGCATAAATGGAAATAATGCAAAGTGTCAGAGAGAAAAATGAATGAGAGATAGAGATACGGTACTGAGTATACAATTGTATGTGTGTGTGTGTGTGTGGCTACGTGAGCCCATAATTGAGTTAACCGACATTTCTCAATGGCGATCCAACGGTAAGACACAGGAAAATTATGTGATCCACAGCGAACCAGAACAATGCCGTAGAATTCAATTCGAGACCAAAAACCATGAAAATACATATATGCGCTGGTAAAAAAGTGGCGCTTACCATACGCCAATTACTTGGACAAATTCCTATGTTAAAAAACTCGTCAATTTTCTCTCACAGACATAACCGGTAAAATTTCTGAGCTCCCATTCATCATTACGACGCAGAAATCGTTCAAATTTCTTGGTCGGCTGTTTTTCTCTCGTCTGAACGTCTTTCATTACGATGGAAAAGTAATTTCGTTTTGGCTTTCGAATGGACACCAAAAGAATAAGTTGTTTTTTTTTATTGTTGACTCATCTAGGTAACAATTAAAACGATAAACAACAACAATATATGTGCATGCTGTGGCTGTACATTGGCCACCATGGCCGTATTAAAAAAGAAGAAATAAGTAATTTTATGGTAGCATAAGTAGAGTATCCGAAGTGATGCATAACAAGTGTAACGTGCATTTAATAAAGTCACTGCATTAAGAAAACCAAACAATGAACACTTTGTTGTACTGCACATAGAAACACAGACACGTACACACACCCAGTCCGAAAGTTATTATCATTTGAACGACTTTTCATATATTGCAGCTTGTTTTCTTCTTCTCTCTTTCTGTGCCCATGAATTTGAGTCACTGCATGGAATAATGGAAAGCAAATTGCAATTTCAAAAATGCAAGCCCAACTGCACAATGTGCACCGCACATATCGCAAACATCAAGTTCGTCACACTGTCGTTGCGTCAATAATGGCTGGCTTGAACTGGCATTGAATGTTTGTTCAGTTTCAAATCGAACGAAGCAAAAATCGAACGAAATAGGCAAAAAAAAACTGATCTACGTACGTATGCATACATCAAGAGTCGCAAACAAAACACGTGCCTCTCTCCGTCAGACGCACAATTGCTGTGTAGACATTTGATCAATCTAAAAACAAAACCGTCTATCGCTTCCGGGCCGGTACATCTATGCCAGATCGAAACATTGCAAAATTTCATAAACAATAACTTGTGCTAAAAACAAAATTCTAACCACATACGAAATTCTAAGCATTGTTTGCTTTTCTGCGAAATTTATTGTCGTTATCTTCATACTCATTTCTACGGTTTTCTTTCGCTCGCTTCCGTTGTTATAGCAAATTTCTTTTTAGGTCTTGTCTGTTATTTTCGTCATGCGACGTTTTGCATTTTGTGCCTAAGCATATAGCTATACAACGTTTTGCACGATTATTGTACGATTCATATTGACTGCATGGAATACGAAAATTTGTGTGTGTTTTTTTTCAAAGACAATTAGCTCGCTAATTGGATCACTCAGTTTTGTTTTATTAAATGCTTCGACGCTTTTCGATTCCAGAAGATTTGAAGAGCGCGCCTGTTCAACGACTCGCCACGAGTTCTAATTCAAACATAAATATCCATGTGTATGTTTAATGAAACTGAAATCGAATGAGTTTTTAGGTCAGCGTAACAATAAACATTTCATCCGACCACGCTTTTATGCAATTTAAAAAGAAAGCCACAATCGTTGACACCACACAGCATTCAGGTTCGAACATTCTGGTTTTGAATATGAAACAGAACCTGTTTGAATTTACATATTATAGCCCATGTTACGAGTTACGTATGCATTAGTTAGTGATCGGAAGCTGATTTTGATGTGACATCAATCGATTCGAAATCCAATTTTGGGCATGACCAATGTGTTTCAATTTCCGAAGCCATTTGAAAATGGTCAGGCGATTTGTGTCACGTGCGTTCGATTATCACGCTTTGGATGAAAATGCATTTTGCTATTTATAGCATGGATAGCGTTAATTTCGGTCAAATCGTTTTCGTTGTCGGGCGTTTTTTTTGGGGGCTTGTCATTCACCGCGCTGGTCACTCCCAGCGTATTTATAACTGCCGCGATGTAATAAAGGAATAAATGAATAAAAAAAAAGAAGATTCAAGTGATAAATCGAATGGAATGTCACTTATAAGCCGTCAAAAAAATTACGTTGCCAATAACGGCCCACCACCTAATTTATGGGTAGAATAATTGTTATTTGTGTGATTTTGAAAATACGAAATTTATATGTCCGATGGAATTGACGCTTCAGAACTAATAGCCGATGCGAACGAACGAGCATACGAACAATACAATTAAAGAGAAATTGTGCGAATGAGCCGAGCTAAAAAAAACACATTAGGTCTCATCATTTTGTGCACGTTCACGTTTTCGTAGTTTTGTTATACTCCAACTTGTACTTTACGATTTTCGTCTCAATCGACTGAATAATTTAACTATTGCGCAGCCTTCTTTTAGTATAAGATCCGAAATATAGGTATCCGCATCCAAAGAAATATATGCCTTATGCTGTACAAATAGTTCCGCACTTGAAATCAAAATGTGCGTTGTCGTCGTCTCTGTCGTTGCCACCACAAAAAAGCCACTTATCTTCCAGAACTTTCTTTTTCAGTTAAATTGTTTGGCGCTGAGCGACGAATAACGCGTCTCGCCTAGCTAATGAACTCTTTTGTACCCATGAATTGGTTTTTAATTTGGCTGCGTTTTTTCGGTTTTTTTCCACCAAGTATTTTGCTTCTCGTACACAGACATAGTTCTGTTTTGCGGGTATCTTCAGTAAGACAGTCTTACTCAGACTTACGGCTGCCAGTTAATACACCTTCGGCTTAGGCATCCACTTTGCGGCATTTTAAATATATTAACCGAATTCTATTGTTTTTAGCCGAATTGTCGTCAGCACCCGCATCAACAATAACATCGGAACATTCAAACTAACCAAAATATTTTAAATTTTCAGGTTTTGCACAGCAGTCAATAAATCTTGAGAATGGAAATGAGCAAAAACTTTCGCACTTGAAACGAAATAATTGACTTTTGTGTTTTTTGATTGGCTTTTCGCCGATCGGAAAACCGACTGTACGAGTGGTTTTTTCCCTCTTTCTTTTGGATCTCTCATTGACTTTGAAACAAATGAAATCATCAATTTCCAATCAGTTTGAAGTCTGAAGCAGCACAGCGCACCAAAACAACAAACAAATCAAATGAGATGAGATTGAAAACGCTATTTCAACTGTGTATAGTGGTTTTGAATGAATAGCAATCGATTTGATTAAGGATCTCATTACGTGGTCAAACAAAGCAAATATCGATTGTCTTTGGGAAATTGGACGTGTAGCCACGTCTTCGGCAGAGACAGAGTGAACGCGTCACAAAATAGAACAAGTGTGAAAACAACAAAACAAAAATATTTCGCAATTTATCGAAGTAAAAGTTTTCAGCGTACATCAATTTACACATGATGAGGCGCAGCGAAGGAGACGAGCAGATTTTTTTTCTGGTTGGAATATGTGTGTAATGTATATTCAATCAACGACTAAAATAGATGGCTCGTTATTTAGGTGATGTTGACACTAGAAATAACATCGAATTTTAACAAGTGCCCATTGAGCGTTCGCACACACAAATGCACACATGTTTCGCCCTGCACTGAATTTCATGAGATTCATTCATTCGTCTTGACACCTCGAGCGAGCGAGCAAGCGCGCGCGCACGCTTTAGGCCACGCATACGATTTCACTTTATGTCAATTTAACTGTACGTATTTATGGTTGTTATTTAGTCGCGGTCGATTTGCGTGATGGTTTTTTCTGTTCGCAAGTGTCATTTTGTTTTCTTTCAATCTTCCGGATTGACATATGCGATTTATGTTGATCATGGGAAAGTGCTCGTGCAAATAGCACATGTTCGGAATTTTTGCGTCACACCTTAACGCCTCTAGCACTTGAAGAACAAAACACGTTCCAAGAAAATTTGTTCATTTGCCAATTTCAATTGAATCGAAAACGAAAATGAGCTCAGTCGAATTGGGCGCATTTCATCTTGACTAGGCGATAATGTGATGAGCACGAGCCAAGCTCGGGGAAAAAGTGAAAACCTTCTTCGTTACATCATTAGAATGTAATTTGTGTAAGTCCATTGGTAATAACCAACAGCAACACCTTATTTGCATCTGATCAAATGATTAACAGTATTTTGTTAATTAGTCATCGTCTGATTCAATCATTTACATAGTAATATGCCCGTGGCCACCAACTATGAAACGATTCCGAACGATTAGATTCGAAAAAGAAACAACAAAAATCACATATCTTCAGGCGCTAACAATTATTTAGTTCGAAACTTTTCTAAAAATCACTTTTTCTTCGAAAATTGTACACGGTATCATTTGATCTTATTTCTTTTGGAGTATTAAGAATTCGA